TGCCGGTGCGACCTGCCCTAAGGATAGGTAGCCTGAATACAATATTAGGGACAGAAAGAGGGTCCCTATTGTTGCCTGTTGCTTGCTGCCTCTGCCTGCCCTGCTCTGCTGTGAACTGGTTCTCCTCTGCTATGCCACCCTGCCTTGGAATCAGCACATGGCAGCCTGAAACCCCTACAAACCATAAGCTAAAATAAACCTTTCCTCCTTGAACATATGATGTCTGGCGTTTGTCTCAGCATCAAGTACAGGTTTCAAGCCCAGAGTGTAGTCCAGTTGAAGTTCCAAAAGATGCTTTTATTTGCTCATTTTTGTGATGATATTCGATTCTGGAAAGTGAAGAGGGTGAGTAGCAGAATTTGGGGACAGCTCTGCCCATGACCTCCTGACAGTCTCTTCTTCATCTCCCTCTCCTCAAGAGCAAGAGGACAGGACTAGCAGACAGTCCTGTGTCCTCACCGGGGCCTCACCTTGCTCTGAGTTCCATGGCGGGATTCACAGCAGGTTCACAGAACATCAGCCCCTCTGTAATTCCTCACTGTGGCATAGTCTTCATAGGAATCAAACGTTTATTCTTTGAAAGTTTGAATTGCTGCCTATCTTTGTGAGTGAATTAAAGGTTATTTTCTAAGATGGATCAAGACTTAACAGACTGGTCTTATGCACACAATCACCTGCGTGTACAATACCAGCTGTCTGGATTCAGCCTCGATGGGGATCCTCTCTAATAGCCCCCCTTGATGGTCACTAGGGAAACTCTCCTTGTTTTTATAGCAAACCTCTCATTTGCCCCAGTTGGCCCCTGCAGGGCCACATTCTCCCTGCTCCTGCTGGTTTCCTTCTGGCCCCTCATTTTCCTGCCCTACTCTCCAGGCTCTGAGTTCCTCTCCCCAGACCACTTGCTCACTCGCCAGCCCTCCTCCATGCTCTCATCTGCAGCCCACTCCTGTGTGCCGCACTCACCAGGCAAACCCCTCTGTGAGTCGCCTCCTGACAGGCCTCCTCCATGATGGGCCGGCATTAGACCTCACAGTGCTGCCTCCATGGATAGGGCCATGGCAGCATATAGAATGTCTGAAGAGACAGCTAGGATGGACACACTAGCAGGTGACTTTCAATCGCTTGTTAAGGAGGGGTCAGGTGGGATTTGTCTCAAGACATGTGTGCTTGTTTTGGTAATGTGAATCATCTAGTAAGGAACAGGCCGCCTTCTGAACTTGACCCTGGGGATCTCCAGAAAGAAATGAAGGTACTATGCCAGAGACAATAGTATAAAAACGTGGAAAGCTAAAATCCCTGTTCATGCTTACTTTCACACTTTTGCCTGTAAGGAACTGGAAGAGGAATGGAAGGGAAAATGTGCTTGATATCCAGGCACAGTGATACAGACACCCAGCAAGGAAGGGCAGGAAGCGGGGTAGGAAGCTGCTGGGGGTCTCTGGATTTCCTGTCTGATCTCTTCACCCCAAATATTTTCACTGCTTGCAACTATAGTAAATCTTTCTGATCTTCTGCACCTTAAGCAAGGTGTCTAGAAATAACCAATTGAAATATTGAGTTTAAAATGTAGAAAAAAAAACAAACTTCCTGAATTCTGGTCCCCTGAAATTAGTGTCTCAGAGTGAAGGGTCTCGAGCTAAATAGTATTGCGTTATGTGTAGATATTGTGCTTTATTTACCCAGTGGTCTGCAGATGGGTATACAGGTTGCTTCCAGGATTCAGCGATTACAAATCATTCTGCTACGATTGTCGGTATGCGTGTCTGACATCATAAACTCTTCTGGGAAGACACCTAGAAGGTGGACAGCTGGGTCAGATTGCACTGCTAATTTCAGTTCTTTGAGAAAATCCATGCTGAATTCCAGAATGATTTCAGAGCCTTCCATCCCACCAGTGTCATGAATGTGCCCTTGGAATTTTCCAGTGCCTCGCAGTCCATCTTGCCTGCCCCCTCTGTCTTTCTTTCTTTCCTCTCCCCAGAGCATCCTTCCTTCTCTGCTCTTCTTCCTCTGATGCTGCTGCCTGCTCCTGTTTATTCCCCACAGTCAGAAGATGGCTTCCGAGCAGCCAGAAAAGAAAGTTAAAATACGCACTGCCTTCTCTCCCTTCGTCTGCAGACAGAGTCAGAGTTCTGTGCTGTACCCAGAGGTGGCGAGGGCAAGGAAAGCATCCAACTCCAAGGTTTCCTGGTCTCCATGTAGCCACCTAGATTGATTGCACTTGAAAAATCTCACTCTGTATTCACAGTAGTGAAGGAAATCTAAATCACTTTCCCTAGGCCTCTTCCCATTCCTCAGCAAGGACGCCTATGTGTGTAGAGGACGCGTATTTTGTAGTCAGCTTGTAGTCAGTGGGAAATTTACCTCTGAGGCTCTGGAGGCAGCCTCTGTGTCCTCATGAGCCTCAGACACCTGGGACAGTGAGCCTTAGAGATGCAGGTTTCTCAGTGGTGCAGCAGGGTATTCGTGACCAGTTACTGACTGTGTAGACCATGTTAGTCAGCTTCATGTTCAAGGACAGACACCTGAGATAATCAATTTACAGAGACAATAGGGTTCATTCTTTCTTTCTGTGCCATTAACTCTTTTAAAATTAAGTTAATTGATATATTTTAGATATATGTACTGATCATATTCCTCATAGGGAATTTGTACCCATGCATGGAATATTTTGATTAAAAGGTTCATTCTGTCTCACGATTTTAAGTCTCACGATTTCAGGTCATGACAGTGTGCCATGGCAGAGTGAGGTGGGAGACCACATGTACCAGACACGGCCACTTTTCTCAAAAGCAGGAAAGGGAGCAACTCCAGTCCCAATCCTCCTATAAAGGCATATCCCTGAAGACTGCAGACCCCTGCTGGCCCAGCCCCTTGAAGCATGAAGCTGGGGTCAACCCTCCCACACACCACACCGCCTCTGAGGACACCGCAGAGCACACTGCCCTGCAGGCTGAGAGCCTCTGAGTGTGGCAGGCAGTGCAAGCGCAATGTTGGGTCCCAGCTGGCAGCTTCGGCCATGCTCCCCGCCTGCAGCGAGGGGGCACTGGCCGCTCCTGAGTGCACTGAATCTCATATCACCCCTAAGTTTACTGAATTGAGTCTGTGTTTGTTTAAAGACCCTGTGAAATTTATATGCAAATTAAATCTGAGAACCACTTTATCCTACAAACTTGACAGGATTCGATTTCTCACTTAATGAGGTAGTGTTATAACAATCCCCATTTTACATAAGTGCGCCTTTTCATTCTTCCTGTGTGGCTGCACTTTGTGCAACAACACCTGAGACCCTGCAAAGGGGAGGGACCCGTCCTGGGCCCCAGAAGGCCCCACACTCAGCAGTGTCTTCTGTGAGAGATCCCAGGCTTCCCACAGCTGCCAGGGAGCAGCTGGAGCTGCTGAGAGCCCACTGAGAGTGTGGTGCTCTCTCAGCCACTCCTCCTGCACAGGAGGCTCCTCTCTCCTGCACCCTGGGGCCAGTTGCACACAACAGATTCCCTGCCAAGGGAACCCTTCTGCCAAGTGCGACCCTCACCCCTAGGGGATATCCAGGGGCCCTGTCCCCAGGCACAGGCCCTGAAAGGTAATGTGGCTCTTGCAGGCCGGTTCAAGAGTCTTTGGACTGAGATCCCTGAAGGTGCTGAGTTAGGAAGACTCAAGTGGTTCTGCAGTAGATTCTCAGGAGGCCAGCATGCAGGACCTGACTGCATTCTAGCTGGGCCTGGCATATGCTTTATGAGGCTCCTCGAAGCTTAGACCTGGGGCAGAGTCAGGATGCCAAAGTGCCCAAATCCTCACACCCCAGCTTCTGCTCTGCATGTGTGATGGAACCTGGCTATGGGATTTGCAACCACCCATCAGATCAGAATATGCCTCTGTGTGGGGAGGGGCTATAAGGAGTTTCCTTATTCTGGAAACTAATTTGGTCCTCGAACTAGAAATATGAAAGGTAGCAGGTTTATGAGATAGGAAAATGACTACACCCCATCTTTGGGCTTCATGGAGTTGGTTTTTCATAGGAGTATGGTATTTCCAAAGAACTCAGTATTTGTCTGAAGATGGAGGATCTGTTCTCTTTGCATTGAACTTCAGGGTCTGGGGTTATAAAATAAGGCATAGTGTTCAGAAAGTTGCAAGAGCATGTAATGCTGGGTAAAGCAAAATTTCCAGTCCTGGAATGTTTTGGATCATGAATTGAGAATTTCATAAGTGCTTGAGAGTGAGATCCCCAGCATGCCACCCAAAACCATACACTAAATACATGAGGCTGTTCAAATAACTAAAAAGCTGTTACTTGAAATACCATTTTTCTACTGAAGTTTTGGTGAATTGTTGTTGAGTATCTACTGTGTAGCAATAATGAAGTGTTTGTTTACAAGTTCATTCTCCACTCTGTCTTATCCACCATGGTTTTTAATTTATTTAATTTTTAAAAATCATATTTTAATCACATACAACATAAACCTTTAAAACACCTATACATCATGGAATGGATCCATCTAAAATTGAAACTCAACTGAGTGTTTCGAATTTGTACAAACACGAAAGTATTTGCTTATTTGTACTGCAGGTAGTTAGTAGTGATTATTAGAGTTTTACACATAAAAGCATTTTTGCATAGTGAAAAATGGAAATATTGTTCATAGTGACATAACTTAAAGTTATTCCACAGATTTTTATCCTATCATCCTTCATGATTTTCTTTAAAATATGAAGATTTATTAAAGTGTTAGGTTGTTTATCTGTACCTTTTAATATTCGTGAATAAAATACTGATATTCCTTTCTTACCCAGATACTCTAAAAATCTAAAGTCTGGGCTGACAGTGTGTTTGTCCATGACTCACCCAGAGCCCTCCTTCCCGGTGCCCTGTGGGTCTGGCTTGATGTTCAAACCCCAGCGTGACTTTGCCTGTTCCTCCTCCACCCTGCTGATGTGGATGAGGTTCTGTTCCTGGTTTAATGGCCTCCTTTTGTTTCTGCCTGTCCTGTTCTTCCCAGAAGGCCAGGGCTTTGTGAGTGAAGATGAGTACCTGGAAATCTCTGATATCAAGCGTGACCAGTCCGGGGAATATGAATGCAGTGCGCTGAATGATGTCGCTGCACCAGATGTGCGGAAAGTGAAAATCACTGTCAATTGTGAGTACCAGGCTCCCCGCAGGGCGTTTCAGGGGGACATGGGACAAAGGTTAAGTGGACACATGGGTAATGGCAGTGCCATTTCTGGAAGGACCTGTGCTCACTTCACCTGCCCTATTCTCTGGAGTCTTCTGGAGCAATCAGTGCTTCCAGTATGCTGGCACCATTGCTAACTTAGAAGTAAGTACTGGGTAAATGCAGTGTCTTCAAGCAAGAAATGCTTTGCTGTATGTGTGTGTGTGTGTGTGTGTGTGTGTGTGTGTGTGTGTGTGTGTGTGTGTGTGCTTGTTTTGAGACAAGGTCTTACTATATAGTCCAAGCTGGCTGTGAACTGACTTTGTAGCCCAGGGTGGCTTTAAATTCTCAGCAATCCTCCTGGCTCAGCCTAATGGAGTGCTGGGATCATACACATGTGCCAGCATGCCCTGCATAAGAAGTTATTTTCTTCCAATAACTGGTCTTTTACTGGAAAATATAGGGGTGTCACAAGATGAGAAGTAAAGGGTTGGGTGTGGCTCTCCTGTCTTTTGTGCAATCAGCCTGTGTGGTTTATTCTTGTTGGTTTTTGCCCACAGACCCTCCCTATATCTCGAAAGCTAAGAACACCGGTGTCTCAGTGGGTCAGAAGGGCATCCTGAGCTGCGAGGCCTCTGCAGTGCCTATGGCTGAGTTCCAGTGGTTCAAGGAAGACACCAGGTACCTCCAGGAACCAGTACTGATGTGAAACAGAGTGGTGGGGTCATCCCTAGATGGAAAGAGGATGCTAAAGTACAGAGCAAAGGCAGAGTGATACAAAAATGTCTCACAGTCTCCTCTGTGAGAATCTCATATAGCATCAGAAGTTAAGAACAGAGGAAGCTGGGAAGTCAACAGAATGAACTGACCTTGTTTCATACTCTGAGGTTAGTTGCACACATGGTGGTTCTGATGACCAGGAGCCTCTCGACTGCCTCTTTTGAGCATGACTCTTCTTTCCTTTCCCCTTCTGTTGGAGACTGTGATAGCACAGGTTTGAGCTGGCAGGTGCAGGTTCGTTAGAGGGGAAGGATGTGGGAGATGGAGAGAAATCCCTCTCTCCATGTGCACCTCATGCCTGCCATGTGCCTGCTTCCCCTGCCCAGCTGCAGGACCAGGCCAGCAGTACCGATGTCTTCTTGCAGGTTAGCCACTGGGCTGGACGGAGTGAGGATAGAGAACAAAGGTCGCATCTCCACTCTGACTTTCTTCAACGTCTCGGAGAAGGACTATGGGAACTACACCTGTGTGGCTACCAACAAGCTTGGAAACACCAATGCCAGCATCACATTGTATGGTGAGTGCTGGACGTCTGGACATGGTGGGCTCCCGAGGGAGGAGGGCACCATCTGCTTGGCCTGTGCGCATCCATACTGCTCAGCCCACTGCCTTTAGATGAGAAATTCTCCCCTGTCATTCCCCTGCATGTGACACCGGGGCATTTGCAAGGTCACTGAGTGACCTGATCATCAAAAGACAATGATGCTTACCCCTTTCAAAGGCAGTAAGCCCAATTCAGAATCACTTTGAATGTGGAATCCATCAGGAAGACAGAACCGAGGAGCTGTTTGATCGCAGTATGACCCAGAGGTGTAACTGTGGGGGTGAACTAGACAGAGTTTTAAGGTGGTGACCTTCAGTAGCAAGAGTCCAGGATTTACTAGATGTATTAGCTTAACCAACTTGGGTGCTTCCCCCATGAGTCTCTGGTCCTCTGAGATCCCTGGCTCGGAGTCTGGAGCCTCCTAGGCAGCTCTCCCATTGAAACTGCAGTGGCAGACCCTTCTCTGAAGTCTGCTTCTCCCCCATGGAGGGAGAGGTCTCAGGAGCCTCGCTGGCCTCTGGAAAGACCTTCCCTTCTCCACTCATCTCCCCACACTGCCGTGTCCTCAGTCTTGTCCCCATTTCATGCCCTGGGCCAGGACCAGCTTGTCTTGCTAGCTTCCGTGCGTATGTGGGTACGTCCATGCCAGTGTGCTGGGGTTTAGTTACCGGCAAGCATCTGATGTGGGAGATGGAGAGAAGTCCCTCTCTCCATGTGCACCTCAGGCCCGAGCAAGCTTTCTGTGTTGACATGAACTAAACTGTGTCCACCAACCATCTGAAATGTGTGATCTATGTCTTTTGTTTTCTCTCTGCATTGTGTGTGCATTGTGCTGTGTGTGTCTTAGAAATAAGCCCCTCATCAGCAGTGGCAGGTGGGTACAGCATGTTCCTTCCTTCCTCTGCCTGCCTGAATGCCTGTGCTTTTATGTTTAGACCAACTTCAAAGACAGGCTTGCCTGTTCCCCTCCCGGGTGCACTTCTCAGAGTGGGCAGGGCTTGCGTAAATGCGAGAACAAGCATGCGAATACCATGGCGCTCACATGCAACAGTGGGATGGCAGTGTAGCCCTCCACAGAGGGTGATTTGGCCCCCAAATAGCAAACTTGCACATGGTTGCCTCCAACATTGATGAGTGTTCTGCTCATAGTAGCACAAAGGGAAACCTGATCGGGGACCTCATGGATTATTACGACTGTTTGTAAGGAGCAGTAACCCTAGTATGACTATTATATTCTTTTGCCCAAGACAAAGAGGGCCACTGACTTCATTCCAAAAATTTTGTTTTAAAATAAAATACTTGGAGTCATTATTTATAATGGTGTTGTCTGCCACTGACTGGATATTTACTGGTTTCTAGGGATCATGTCAGTGCTGTAAAAACAAGTCATTAGCCCCATTTTACAGAGCAGTAAACAGGAGAAAAAGAGGTGTGTACCCCTGACAGATATACAGCTAAGGAACAGGAAGTGAGACCCAAGACCAGACCTGCCGTCAAGTTCTGGAGGATTTACCCAGGCACTGGAGGAGACAGAGACACAGGGAAAGGCTGAGGTGTCCACACCAGCACTCACTGTTAGGTTCCAAGGCAGCAGTGCTGGTGTCAGCTCTGTTTGCAGAGGTGAAATACTGGAAGCCCTACTTTTCTAAGATGTCAATCTTCTTCACATGCAAAATGACAGCATTTGAATTTCGGGAGGCCCAGAGTCAGCTCAGCTTTCACAGAAACAGGCTGCCATGCTGGGATGACCATGAGTTTCACCCCTCGGCACTGACAACACAACATGGCAGAGGGAGCGAGAGATGAGGGCACTGCCCTGCCCCTGCCCTTCACTTACACCATCAGTTAAGGGGATCACCCAGATCGGGGGATGCAGTCCACAGGGACACAGGGCCTGTTAGCTGTGTCTCTGCCATTAACTCAGGCAGGGTCCATGGCATAGCTAACAGTGATATCCAGGGTGCACGAAAACTGTATTAGTCTCTTCCTGTTGCCATTACAAATATCTCAGATGCGGTGGCCTAAGAATAAAACCCTGACTGGAGGTTAGAAGTCTAAGATAGAGGGTCTAACCCATTCTAAGGAGGGGCCGCTTCCTGGCTCCTAACCAGTGATGTCATCTCATGAGCTTTCATCTGAGTTTTAAGTAGTGAGTGGTGGTCAATCGATGTCCTTGCTTATAAGGACACCAATTGCATTGGCTCAGGGACCTTCCTTCCTTTATAAACTCATTACACCCTGAATACTCCTCCTAGGTCCATCTCAAATACAGTCATGCCAGGCCTGGAGCTTCATCTCAAGGACTTGGTAGGGACATAGTTCCATTCATAGCATAGACACAGAGTCACACTCCAATTCAGACCCAGGAGTCACTCATCTTTGCTGAGCCTTTCTTTCCTCATGCGTGCTCTTATGGTGACATTTTAATGTCGGCCTCAAAAGCCTAGTGAGATTAAACAGGAGCACCCCTATATGGTGTGGGTGAGTGGCCTTGACAGATTCCACTGCAGGCTCAGTTTATGGAGGAGAAATGAGGGATGTTTTCCTGACCTGCTGACATAAAAGTGTCACTGTGAGCTCTCAGTAGGGGGCTGTCCCTCAGAGTGAGGCGACACTGTGAAGTCTACACCGTGAGTTCACCCAGTACCGGGCAGCACTTCTGTGGCATGCCCCATCCTTCCTGTCCATTATCCCCCACAAAGCTCTTTGCCCTTGACATACAGCATTTGCTATTTCATTTGCACAGTTGGGGTCCACTTGGTTTTCAGCAGCCTTTCCTGCAGAAAGCCTTTCCCGACCACTCTGAGTAGATCAGATGCCCTAGTGTACCCCACCCCACCTTCATTTCCAGGTAATGCTGTGCTCAGGCTGGCACCCATCCAGTAAACACTGGCTCAGCACTGTCACAAGCAGAACACAGCACTAAGTGGTAAGGACACAGCAGCTACACATGAAGCAGACTCCTTGGCCCTAGCAGCTTTACCATAGAGTCCTGATCTAGGTTTTGTTTAGGTTACTTTGTTTAACTAAGGCTCCCCTCTATGACCTGTCAGATTCATGGACATGGGAACCAGATCTGGCTTGAACCACAGGAACTAGCACAGGGCTGTGCAGAGCGGCTCAGGAAGTGCTGTGAGAGAAGGAATGGGCGAGCATCTGCAGAGTTCAGTGGTCAGAGCCTGAAATGTGTCCAGGTGGAAAAAGGGCTTTTGGTCTCAGCTTTGCTGCTTCCTGGCTGAGTGCCCCTGGATGCATGGGTTTTGATGTTTCCACCAGTGAGAGCTTTTTGGATAAGATGTCCTCTGTTGCACACACAGCCTAAATCTCCGGTGCCATCACCGAATGTCAGCAGCCTCGGCACAAGGTTAGGTAACATCCAATTGACTCCCCCTTCCCACTGAGCCTGACTGGTCCTCCCCATCCTCAGTGCTCTATGATTATAACTAACCCTAACCATAGTCATTTACTATATATGCCGCCACTGGACTGAGTGTTTAACATGTTCCATCTCACTTAATGAGACTATGAAGTAAGTACTTTTTTATCCCAATTTTCTATGTGAGGGAGCTGGAGTCTGGAAAGATAGCTTAGATCATACTGTCCTCCAAGCACCCGAGCAGGGGTCGGCACTTACACACTCTGTGCATGGTGTGTAGGCCTGAGAACATCACTGCTATCTCGGGACAGTGCATAGTATGGGGCACCCACTGTGGACACCTGTGCGTGTGCTGAGCAGTCTTGCATCCCAGCAGGCATCTGCTTAGAGCCCCTTCTGCACTCAGCTGACCCCTGTGCACCTTGTGTCCCAGAACTCCTCTGGGAGAGAATGCATTTTACATTTGAAACTTGTGTGTTCCGCCCAGACACACGCACCGTTCCCAGGTGTGCATTTGTGTTTTTCCTCCCAGGCTGCAGCTGCGCTCTTTGAGAGCTCTCTTTGACTCTCTCCCTGTGGTCCCAACATAACTTTCTTCTCTTGTGCACACATCTGTGATATATGTCTATCCTGACAAGAAAAGAACAAAACAAAATAGGATAAAAGCACCTTAAATACCAAAAATTGAGATTATGGAGACAATGTTTTGGTGGGTGGGTTGAGATGAAATGATCAGGAGGCAGGAAAAATGGTACAAGCCCTAAGTGTGCATCAGAGATCAGTTAATACTGGCTTCCTCCTCATCACCGGCCACCTTCCCATCACAGAGCCCAGAGACAGGGTCCTGCTGTGGGCAGGGCACCAGCTCAGGCAGCATGACAGACACCTACTTTTCTTAGCCCCCCAGCAGCCAAAGGGCCAAGAGAGCATCAGAAAGCTAAGAAGACCTGATGCCAGCAGCTGGGTGTCTGAATTCCATCGGATTCGGAAGCAGAATAGCTATGATGCTGTCTGATCCTCTGCTGTCTGTACAATACAGGACTAGAACAAGATGGATACCAGCTTACTTTTAGCCTTTCAAGTCTTCTCTGAATTTGAGGAATTGTGCATTATAGACAGGGTAAAGGATAGCTCTCCAATTCTGTATCCTTGGAAGTGGCAGCAAACCCCCCCCCACACACACACACACTATTGTAAAGCAGCTTACTCTAAGTGCCCTTAGAGTTATGGAGTGGACAAAGCCGTGTAAAGAATCTGGAGCCCTTGTGCCTGAAGTCTTGCCAGTCCTAGGGGCAGAATGGGTAGCTGGGCTCAGCTTGCTGGCTGGAGCTCTGTCCCTGGCAAGAGTCTCTCATTTGCCCTCGACATGCCAACCTAGTTTCTTCCTCTGGATTTTGAGCAACAGACTTTAGCCCTCTGTCCTTCGAGTGCAGAGAAGGAAGATTCTGGACTAGATTGCATCCAGCACTGCAGAGAGTGGGATGTGCTTAATGAGGCATATAAACGCCTGGATCACTAGAGCTGGCAGAAGAGGGGGGCAGGGGCAGCACACAAAGGAAAGAAGGAGAGGGGTGCTACAGGAGAAAAGCAGATTTCTCCCATTTCATCTGTGAAATTGCAGTGACACAAATTAGTTACATTAAGAGTTAAGTATGAGGTGTGGGGACAACTCATAGGAATCTTGTCACTGCTCATGAGCTCGGCGCAACAGCCAGTGAAGGCAACTCCTGGATGCTGAGATTTTTCCCAGGCAGAGCTTCAATTCCCTCCTAGCAGCTGTGCCTGCTGCTCACCTCGGCAGCTCCTGCAGGCCCCCAGGACACAGTCTGTATTGTCTTTTGCTAATGACTGTTCTTACAGAATAAATATGCATATCTGATTGGATCTTCAAACTGGATTCTCTGCAGCAAGAGGTTTCATCACCCAGCTCCTCTGCAAATCCATCCCACCAATACTGCAGAGCCCTCCACACAGCGTACCTGCTCTGTGTTCTGCTTCCTTTCCTGCAGTCGGGTGTGCTAATCACCATGCCGTTCCCCTTGTGACTCCAAGTGGAATGTGAAGACAGCAGGAGCGACAGGAATTTCTCCTCAGCAGGCCTCACTGCCCCACACGTGGTGTTTCTGCTTTAAACCTCTAAAGGGTTGCCCAGCATCTGGAGCGTCCTTTTGGGTCAGACTTCTGTGACACTCAGTACCCACTTCTGGCCTGTCTAATATAAGCAGGGCTCACTTCCTTCTTCTCCTTCTATCTTAGCCTTCTAGCTTCCCAGCTCATGCCCTGTAATTCATCCTAGGAGAGCACTGCAGGGTGAGGTGGAGGGGTCATCACATCTTCAAGCATCAAACAGGATTTCTGACACTGGACTTACTTTAGGAGTTTTAAAACTGTACATTTATGGCTCTTGCCCCAGAACCACTTAATCGTGCTCTCTGTGAATGGACCTGAAAATGTATTTTTCAAGCAACTCTCTGAGGGCACCTTTGGGAGCCTCTGAC